GAGAAACCAACTTGTCACTGATGGATGACAAGGTTTTAACAATGAATGAATCCTGTGCCATAGTTGCCCAGACCAAATATCATGCAAATTAAGACACCAATAGTGCATCTATTTAACTCATTAGGATTCACTATCCCATTGAAGTATCCAAATGTACAAAAGGACCAAGTTCCAATCCAGACGAGAGCAAACAACAAGACCCTTTTTCGTTTTTAGGCCTTCAACTAGAGTTCTAAGAAACTACAATGGATTTGTTTTTTTGGCAAAGGAACATCCCGGCAATGCTTTGTGATAATGGTTAATGACCGTGGGGGGAACTAGAAAATCCGAGAATAAAAAAAATAGGTTCCTTAAATGACCGAGCTAAGTAGCTTAAATGACCCACATAAGGCATATTGGGACCACTCCATCTTCAAATGTGGTCCGAAATAGACGATGAAGGGGATAGATCCTTTGAAGAACCTCGTAAGCGAGATGATGAAGTGAGCTTCCTCTAGCAGCATGCCAACCAAAAATATGTTTGATTTATTCATATTCAAATGAAGATCAGAGACCACTTAAAAAAGGAAAATATATTCAAGAAGAATGCCAACCGAATGGGAATCACCTTGAAAAAAAAGGACTACATCATTGCATAGGGAAGATGTTTTTTCAAATGGAAGCAGTCTGGGTGATAGTTGATTTCATAAGTTTCATCCCGGAGTCTCAAAAGTCATGAAAAGTACTCCATGCAAAGGATAAAATGCTAGGGAGATAGGGGGGCCCTTAGCCTCAAGCCTTTCTTCCCTTTGAAAAGCCATACGATCCTTTATTAATTGACAAAGAATAAGATGTGGAGATAACACACTCTATAATAAGACCAATGAACTTGTCTGAAAAGTTTAGTTTAGTGAGAAGAGACTGAAGAAAATCCCATGAGATGGAATCAAAAGCCTTTCAAGTTTGATCATACACCGAGGGGAGCTACGCTTTCTTGTATAGTGCTTGCAAAGCTCTTGTAATAAGATGATATTTTCAACCATGTATCTACCTTGAACAAAGGCTGACGAGGTTGTTAAAAGCGATGATGAACCTGCACTACACGTCAAAGGCTCCTTGTGCTTGGTTGGGAGCCTGAGTTTGATCCGATTTGCAAAAAATTTAACTATAATCTTATTAATAATCTTGCAACTAGCGATCGGTCAAAAGTCGCCAACTTTGGGAGCAACCGTCGTCTTGGGAATAAGAGCAAGAATAGTGTGATTTAGCTCCTTGAGCATTCTGCCAATAGAAAAAATATCCAAGACTTCGGACAAATATCATTACCAATAACATTCCACGTTGCAACAAACAAGCCAACTGAATATCCATTACTCATTGGGGCTTTGTCAATGTCCATATTTTTAAAGTGGAATGGACTTCTTCTTGTGAAACCGAGGCTTTGAGCTCAAAGTGGAGGGATTCCAGAATAAGAGCCCCATTTTAATAACATCGTCATCAAGAGTTGAAATTTCAATTAGGGTACCAAAAAGACTAGAATAAAATTCCAAGACGCTCTCCACAACTTGATCAAAGGATGTCGTGGTAGAACAATCTTTAAGAGAAAGACAAGCAATATATTTTTCTTAAAGTTCTTTTTAATCAATGAATAGAATTTTTTGGAACTCTTATCATTATCCACTAGATACTTGGGGTTGGTCTTTTGATAGACAAAGTCAATAGCTGCTTTTTAAAAGCACACAACACTGTCATAAAGTCAGCTTGAGATTTTAGGAGACGTCTGACCAGGAGTTGAATCAGCATTGGCTTGGGCAAATTCAAAATCTCTGTAGCTACTTTAGCTCATTTTAAAATATGGAAAAAATTATTTTTGTTGATTTCCAAAAGCTGAGACTTCAACAACTTGAGTTTCAAAGCAACTCGGAACGGAACTGTACCCGTAACATGTTGATTCAAAATAGAGCTGATCATAACTAGAAATGTGGGATGTGCACCCCAATATTAAAATACTTGAATTGAATAACTTTTCGAAGGTTAAGATCAAATGAAGAAAGAATGACTGATGAGTGATCTAAGAAGCCCGCTGGAAAGATTGAATCACTGCTTGTAAATCTTGTTAAAAGCAATCAATTATTGACCATAAGTCAGTCAAGTTTCACCTTAATTCAATTATTCGTCCAACTATAGCGATATCCCAAAAATAAGAGATTGGAGAGGCCAATGCCAAGACTTATGATAACAAATCTTGGTAATCATATGGGCGAAAAACACTTCCGTACACACAACCAAATGGTTGCAATATAGTGTTGTAATCACAAAGAATCATCCATGGTTCCTGTATGTTTTCTCTAAGATAAGTCAGTTTATTCCATAGATCTCTACGTTTGATAAGAGAATTGAATGCATAAATGAAAGTAATAAAAAATGAAGTAGCCGAAATTATGCTTGTAAGCCTTAGATGAATAAGTTGATCCTCAATGCTAAGGGGCAGGACAGTGGCAAAGGAAGGATTCTAGAGAATGCCAATACGTCCTTCCTTGGTAGCTGCAAAGTTATTAACCAAAAACCAACTCAAAAAATTTCTCCCAACTAAATCAAAGAAATCATCTTTGCACTTTGTTTTAAGAAGTCCAAAGATTTAGAATGAATGATCATTCATAAGTTTCACCAATTCCTGATGCTTAAGGGGTGGGTGAACGCTCCTTATATTTCAAGAATTGATCTTCATTTAGAGGGGGAGATTTGGACTCTTCGATTTCGTGTGAAAAGTCCATTTCGATCAAACTGCTGATTAAGGGGAGGCGTAGCTAAGGTTGAGAGACTTGTTTTACCATTTCCCCTAGAGGATGGTTCTATTCAAATTTGCCTTTTGGGGGCTAGGGGGACTTCAGACGAGCTGTTGGAATTTATAAAATGATCATTTTCAAGGTGGACTTGTTCTATTCCTTGCTACCAAGCTCAATTTTCGTATGTCTGCTTGCTAGAATTTGAAGAAGAATCATTTCCAGGAAGGTTTTGACCAATTCCTTACTGTTGAACCTGGTTGCACATTTCTACTTTCTTTTCGTCATCCTAAGGGAGTTGAGCATTTTGGTCCAGATTCTCTCTATCCAACTTAAGAGCAACCCTATTTTGTACCACATAAACATAATAAATTTGATCATTTAAACTAAAATGGTTTGATGTCAAACAAAAGATTCAAGGGTCTGCTTAGGAAAATATTGATCCGAGAGTTGAAAGGGATCGGTTGCATTTTCCATAACAAGTAAACCAATAGAATCCTTATGTTACAACTAGCAACATGAGAGCAAGAAGGTAGATTATTGTCATCCAAGAAACCGAATTGATTATTGTCATCCAAGGAACTAAATCGATTTTTAAAACGGACTTGGTCTGAATGATGAGCACTTTTCTCAAAGGTTACACGAACAAGGGCCTTGGAGAAACTTCTTCCATTGCGATGAGGGCATTTTCATGCGACCATCGATTCAATACGAACATGTCTTCTATCTTATGAGTTACATTTACATCCCAACAGGAACATAAGCTATCCTATTTTTTTTGTCATTTTATATGTAGAACTCGATTTGCCAATCCACGAGGCAATTGTGTTAAGTCCTTTAGCACTACAACACTTTAACGGGATTCCACAAAATTGAGCCTACACCAAGGCTATTTTGAAGACTTCATTGTCCAAGATGAAAAACCATGGAGGCATGACTTTCAACATGAGTGAACATTCATATTTAGAGTACAGACAACCTTTTAACACTGAGTCACAATCTTCTTTTGAGGAGAACTTGAAGATGATCTATCCTTTGGCTCCTGATATAATCTCCGCTCAAGCCGGACAATGATTAACAATTTCTTCCGAGCTTTGATTCCTGAATTACACGGAAAAAAGTATCCAAGAAGCCCAAAGTCCAACACATTTGCCACGTCAATAAAAACATCCGAGGAGGATGACACAAACATCCTTTTTAGGGATATGTGAGAGTTCCAATCCTAAGCCTATAAATTTTTGATTGCTAGCAACCTTTTCTACCCACGTAGGGGCTGTTCGACCAAGAATTCTGGGCCAGAGATCGCCGGGTCCTTGTCTTTTATTTCGACAACATCCGTAAAGTTATTCGATGAATTTGAGTCATCGGCCTTATTCCGATGAGACAATCGATGTGAGAGATTTTTTTTTCCCTTCGTGAAACATTAGAGGCTGGTACTTAATTTTTTTTTTCCTTTTTCTTTTGGCCTATTGTGCATCACAGAGACGATTGAAGATATAGAGTTCTGAAAATAAACTAGAATCACAAACCACAACTCTCAAACAACCGGGAAAGGATCACCGGAGCAAGGGAAACTCCAAGGAAGCACAAACAAGAGCCCAAACCCTCTTTTGTCTTCAATCGCACAAAGCTGGACGAGCGCCTCTGACGAATAGCTCGGCAAGGCAAAGGAACCAGACATCATCTTCCAAATTAGGACATGGGAGATGAAAATAGACCCCTGGGCAGTTGAAAAACACCATCATCATAGAGATTCTGACCACTGGATGCAGGAGGGGATTGAGACGCGTCACATAGAAAAGACCCACAAACCTTCAAATAAACTATGAACAATTCACTGGAGCCCCAAGCAAGACGACGAGCAAAGGGAGAGGATAATGGCATAAATAAGGCCACCAAAAAAGAATTTCACAGCAGTGGAAGGAGGAGCTCCGACCGAAGCAGCTCCAAAGGGGCGAACAAACGAGAGGACCAAATCGCCTTTAAAATCGCCCACGAACATCTGGTACTTAATCTTCAAATTTTATACAATATTTGTGTTTTATATTTGAGATTTTGGTACTAGTTTTACTATTTTAATTTTTTTTTTCTTTCTTAAAGCTATCAAATAAAATACTTATTTTTTATTTATTATATTAAATTAAAATTTATTTATTTTAAAATATTACATTAATACATATTTATATTACATCAAATAGTTATTTGAATTCAAATTTTTATAACATTTTCAAACAAGAAGTAGATTACAAACAATTATACCTTTACTACCGACCAATATTAATTCAACAAAAATAAGGTGCAGTTGAGAAAAATAAATAAATCCTGAATTATTGCTTTACAGGAAAGAATACAATGCATTTAGCAGCAGCAGCAACAGTAATTTTCCATAACAGAAGAAAAGCAAAAGGGCAAACACTAACCTATCTTCCTAGTGTTTGATCATTTGCAATTTTCTTATGGATCAAATACCTAAACGACGATGATGATGAAGAAGACGAACTCTGTTCTAACCAATGGACATGCTTTGATGCTCTACCACTCTTCACACATGCTTTTATGGCTGCTTTCGAGCGCACGTCCGGTACGTACTCGCTGATAACTTCCAGCAATGCAGCCACGCCGAGCGACAAATCCTTGCCGTAATGGCACAAGATTTTCGGCGCACAGATCCTTGTTTCCTTCTCGAAGTATACTGTTGATCGTATGAACTCTGCTCTAGCAATTTCCAGATCCTCAAACACACTTTTCGCTGTGTATATTCGAACCTACGAATGCCATGCATTCACCAACAGGCGAGAATGCAAAATGTGTGCCCGTAAGAAAAGAAGACAAAATTGCTCATAACTCGTTATTTAAAAATTGTATGAAACTCCTCGCGTTCAACAAAATACAGCACAAATTGCATTTTTAGGGGGTTTTGTGACAAAAGGAATCTCACATAACCTTTTAAGGATTCTGTGCAATATTTTTCTTAAATACGAGGGAGCCTCGTACAATTTCTAAATCACAAGAGAGAATAATACAAATTTTTTCAAATCACATGTTAGTTATAAATAATTTTGTCAAAAAAAAAAATTGACTGAAATGTATTTACCATAGGATCCCAATATGCGCCAGAGCAAAGTGCGAAATGAACAAGTGGTTCGGGGTAGTCGATGGCGTAAGGATGTTTGGTATTCCCAGTCTTAAACTTCCTTCCGGGAGATACGAGAGTCTGCAGCCACTGGATTCGGGAGATTTGTGAGGAGCCGGTAAAGAAGTTACAATATGTAAAAGTAAAAACATGATACATTTTTACACATTTTCAGCGCATCAATCGATCAGTTTTCACTAAGAAATGACGGTAACTATTTGCATTCTATTTTCTATTAATCATGAAAGTCGAAGGTGTCCAAAGTTGTGTCAATTGAGTACCACTTATCTTTTGTCTTTAGTATTTTAATAGTTTTGAGGTGAAATAGCAGTTTGATGTGATGTTTTGTGTAAAAAAGAAGTGTTGGATGTGAAAACGAAAACGAAAACACAAAATAACACAGCCTAATAATATACACCGAGCATCTACTTAATACATTTAGCGATGTATCGACAATGTACCGTAGCAGAATAGTGTGATCTGATTCCCAAAATGGAGCTTTGTATGTCATAAGCATTCACGCAATGCCCGCCGACATTGTACGCAGCCTGAGATGAAAAATCGAGCATGAATAATCGAAGCAATCGCAAAGAATAGTTGTGAAAATAGAACAATTAGATTTGGAATATTACCTTCACCATAAAGTTACTTTTTATATAGTTTTGAGTTCCATAAGCTAAATAAGCCTGCAAAGAGGAAAACACCTATTATCGCAGATGGCACATTGAACGAATTTTCATTTAGGATTTTAGACAACGACAATAAATATAATTTTTCACAAGAAATTAAAGCTGCGGTGTGCTGGTTAAACTTCGAAATAATGTGAAAATGAAAAAGGATTCTGAGACATACATGCATCAACAGTGCATTGTGAATATTGATCCAAAATGCAAGGCTTTGTTCGCGCTTCATCTTCATCGGATCGACAGTCTCAAGACTCTTGACGAGAGACCTGCACAGATATGATTAAATAGGAAATCAAGGATTGTAAAAATCGTAAAATATCATCGAATTTTTAGCTGTCAACAAGTTTCATGAGAACAGTCATATACAAGAAGAGCATTCGATTAAATTGACAGCCGTGGAGGAATTAAAAATAACTACAATTAAGTAAAAAAAAAGAGTTTCGAAGTTAGATTATAGCATAAGTTTCTTCAAAATGAACTGCAAATGAGAATCGAAATTTTGGTTAGAAGTAATATGCCTGCACCTGAATTTCTTAAGCATCGATGTAGCGTAACTATAGTTTTCGTCATCCAAGCATATTTTCAGCACTTCCAGGACAGCAGCAGCGGCACTATGTCCATTCTCTTGTTTTAATCCTTCAAAATCACAATTTGCCGTAACATCCTCACTGTATTGGGGACTCCAACGTCCGGATAAATTTTTGGGAGAAAATGTGCTGGAGGAACAGAAGGATGAAGCCGACGAAGCTGAACAGCCTTTGTTAACGCTATCATGCGTTGCGGGGTTGGCCAATTTGCAATAAATCAACGACACACATCGTACGATGTCCTCAGAGAGTTTATCTGGTCGAACAACGAGATTATCTATTTCAGAATGTCCAAGATGCTCTGCAAGGCTATTGTGCCGATTAGTTGCCGGCTGCTTCTGCAATTATTCATCCGAAATGCAAAAATATAAATAAAAACTTCTCTGAGATTCAAAGACTGTTAATTTCAAGTACGAAATCTGAAGCAAGTTTAACCTTTATGGGTGACGACAGTGGAACAGAAACAGGAACAAGATCCATAGGACTTTTACTATCTCTTGGAGTTGCTGATTTCGATTTTGGAGAATGGGGGCCGGATGAAGCTTGATAGGACATTGCATCCGTTTCTTGGGCGGTCCTCAGTCGTGTCGTCGGCAGATATCGCATGAAAGCAGTTCGGTAAAGAGATAGAAGATACTGTTCCAAATGCATGATTTCAACCTCGAGCACGGCAATTTCTTCCATCAGTTCGACTGACGACTACTTGCCAACAAATCCAAATATTCAATCAAGATCTCTCAAGAAACGAATATTCAAACAAACTCTGTTTACATAAACATTTTTCGAACTTTTGACGCCATTAGTTTAACAGTAACGTTTTAAAAAAATATATTCACATCAAATGTTATCTTTTATTTTCTCACAAAATATCGTATCAAAAAGAACGTTCCCAAAATTTTCTACTTCAAAACTTCTATTTAAACATTTTGCGTGTTTGCAAGGTCACTATACACAAAATTTGATCGTCAAACGGATTGCATAAATACCAAGAAACAAAATCGGCGAATACCTTGTGTGTTGTCAAGACATTTGAATTAAAAACACCACTTGATTCTAAGACATGTTCGTTCCAGCTGCCGGATGTCCTGTCGTAGATAATGTTCAAATGTTCGGCCTGCGCCGAGTAGAGTTACCTTTAGTTAAGCAAATTTCTAGCAGCAAAGCTTCAAGATGTAAATATTCATAAGAACACCAAGAGAAAGCTACTGCTCGAAAATCTATTGACAAAATTCAATGGAAGCTCTGATATAATTGAGAGCGTTTTCACCATTTACCCGCTGTAGTTTCGCACAATTACCATTCGTTTACAGTAAATTCCAAAATGAAAGTGAAAAATTAAGGAGACAGAATGCAAAGCTACTCACAGTATCAGAATCTGTAAAACCTAATGACCTCGGCGACGCATTGAGCACATCCTTGCGAATTACAGTGTTCGAAGAACTGAAAATCAGCAATAACTAATCATCTTCCACAAATTCATATTGAGATTACAGTAATCACATATGAACAAACAAACAAACAAAACTAAAAATAAATCAGAAAATGCAAAACCTAAATTACAGTAATCATCTTCTACCTGTCGCCTTCCCACTCCGCCGGAGGCGGAGGCGTCGACGCCATCGGCGAGGCGGCGCCCTAATTACCGAAACCCCCAACGCTACAATCGCGCGCCACCACCGACAGCAGGCGGGAGATCTTAAAGCAGCCTACGATCCCAACATTGGGGAAAAAACTCAAAAATTGAATCGAAATCGGAGGGGAGAGTATTTATAGCAGGAGGAAGCAGTGATCTTCTAGGCAAACAAAATTGGTTCAACCGAAGCGGAATTAGGTCACTTGCAGCAATTAAACGACACCCCACCCTAATCGTTGAATAAATTACATTATTGTGCTGTGGGTCGCCCCGCCTGGCGCAATAAATGATCACAGATTCAGTGCAATAAAAAATAGGGAAATCCGAACCTCCATGTTTAAAAAACATGGAAAAAAGCTCGAGCAGTCAAAGTCAATCATAAGCTGTGAAATGGCATTCAAGGGAACACAATTAATTACAATCAACCAACTGTAATCAAGAAAGTGCCATTATTTGCAGAGAAGCTGTAATAACGAAGAGGTGGGAAAATTCGGCAGTACAAAGACTGCCATTATTGAGCCAAAATGGAGGTCTGCTATTTATTCAAAATTGAATTGGTGTGTAGTGAATTCTGATGACTGAAAAGGGTAGGTGGGGAAGATAAAGGAAAGAGCAGTTAAGGAAAGCTACAAGCGGCCATTAATCAGTATACTATAAAAAGGGGATTTTGAAGGATAATGTATGTATGTATGTGTATATATATATATCTCGATTGAAGACGCTATCGTATATTAATTGCGCATGCGTGAGTGTGTGTGATGATGAACAAACACAACAACTACTGCTACTATTATAATTATATTAGTATTATGTTGAGAATCTTTTGGTGTTAGTTTAATCTTCAGGTGCTGTTTGTGAAGCTGAGATTTTTTAGAGAGATGATGGCGACGTTAAATCTACTTTAGGATGAGTCACTTTTTCAGTTTTCCAAAATTCTAACTCCAAGATGATCTTGATCTTGACCTTCCTTTATTATATTATATATAGTTAAGTGAGCTACCTTTCGTACTAAAATTGGTTTTTAATTTGATATTAAAAATAATTTTTGACAAGATATTTTGTGATAGAAAAAATATACTCTTTTCATTCAGCTAAAAAATATACATATATTTTTAAGTAAATATTTTATTAAATACCTTACTTTTTTTCCACAAATACCTATACTTTACATCATATTATTACATTTACACCAAAATATCATTACACTACTTTTAACTATCCACTATAATTAAAATATTATTATTTCTTAAATATTGCGCCAAAAGTAAGTGTATATATTATGTGTAGACGAAGGAAATATTTTCTTTAAAAAAATTGCATAGTCCAAATAGTAACTTTGGGAAAAGTTGGTTAAAGAAACTTATTCCTTGAGTTTGTTTGATTTGCTCCAAACTAGTTATTTATTTGTTTTTTTTTATTTATTTAATACTCCCTCCGTCTGCAATGGTAACATTTACATCTACATTTGCATCATTATACTAAATATTTATTAAAAGTATTTTTATATTTGTATAATTTTTTATGTATGAATGTCATTTTATTATTATTATAGAACATTAATGGAAGTATTTTTGTAATTTTTTCTTAATTTGTATTACATTTTGATATAATAATTAATATTCAAATATTAATACACAAAAAATAAATGAGACCTTTAGAGCCGAACGAAAATAGTATATAAAATTCTTTTGATAAAAATGTACTCTGTATGTAATTTTTATATCACTGTGTCCGATTCAAAAATTATAATTTAATGATATTTTAATATAAATATAAGATAAATAAAAAAGTAAACTATAATATTACTAAAAATAATAGAATAATAGAAAACATAGGATGTATTTGTTTCGCAAATATTTTGAAGGAATATATATATTTTTTTAGCGTAAGTATAGAAAATTGTACAGATAATATAAAAAAATAAATTATATCATTTTTTCAAAACAAAAACACACCCATAATATTATGAAATAAGAGGAAGTATTATTTATTTATTTTTTAAATACCGGAGAAAAATTAAATAAGAGAAGTAATGCCGAAATAAGTAAAGTAAGTTATTAATAATCAATTGAAGAAATAAAAAGAGTAAGAATAGACCGTTGGAGAATACGAAAAAGTTAATACTCTCTCTGCTAGCCAAAGTTACTCTTACTTTTCTATCTCATTATTAATTTTTTTGGTAAAGTCAACAAATCAATATTTAATTATTATATTTCATTCAATATTTATTTATAACAAATATCACTATCTTTATTACATTATCTCTCTTTATTTCTAATTTATTTTTCAAAAATACCCCCAACTACCTTTTTTACTTTTATCACTCTTTAATAAAATATTCATTTTTCTTAATTTTCGTATCGGATCCAAATTTTCTAATTTTTGTTGACGGAGTGAGGGACACGTTAGCATATAATCTGACTAGAAAAGTTCCGGATTATTTATAAATGTGGTTCTTCAAATTTCTCAATCCGTTTAGGGGGCAAGTTGACTATATAATTTGGCTAGAGAAGCAATCGTTTTTTAATTTGAAGGGCTAGATCATCCATTAATATGGCCTCTCAAGTCTCTCAAACTGCTTGAGGGATAAGTTGGTCATATAAATTCGGCCAGAGAAAAAATTATTTCTCAAATTAAGAAGCCAGATAATCAATAAATATTGTTCATAAAGCCTCTCAATATGCTTGAGAAGAACCATATAACCCAAATGTAAAACTATGTCTATTAAGAAGGAACACTTCATAATTATTTCCTCTGACTATTGAGAATTTGGATGCTATGGGTTCAACTATATCTGTCATTCCACTGTTCTATTGTGGGGCTCATTGTGAATTTTTTTCTTAGGTGCCTCGAATCTTCACTTTGGAAATAGGACAAAATGGGACAATTGATGGTTAACAACCGTATCAATATCATATGTGTCGCCATAGAATGCATTTGGGAATTCTAGCACAAACCTACTCTTACGTCCTATAGTGAATCGGTTTATTCAGGCCACCCGTCTTGCTGTAATATCACAAGTGGGAGTTCCAAAATGTTCACGATCAGAGACATCTTCAGAAGGGCCACTACATCAGATTCCTTCACCTAGGGTTGTCAATTGGGTTTAGGGTTTGTTCTAGACTGGATCCGGTATATATTTCTCGAATCTAGAACTCTATGTAAATTCGAAATTAGATCCGTATTATAGGGTTTCGGATCCAGTATTTATGGTTCTGATCTGGAACTAACCCAAATTCAATATTATATAATATTTTTTATTATATATTTATATATTCTTTTATATAATTATATATTCTATTAATCTAAACCCTAATTTTCTAAATTTAACCTAAACATGTCAGTCCACAATCATATCATTCTTTCTCTCCTTTCAAAATCGAGTCATCGATAATTTGACATCGACCATCGCTCTTCTTCTGCCTTCCACCATCCACTACAAAAATGTCAAAATTTAGCTACAAAAACTTTTTTTGTAGCAAAATGTAATCATTCATAGAAAAAATATTTTTGTGGCAAAACTTATTTCGTGGTCTATACTGCTTTAGTAAGGTCTTTGACGACAAATATGACTTTCGTAATAAAAAATAAGTTTTTGCAATGAAACTTAAAAAGAGAGATATAGCAACGAAAATATAAATTCGTAGCTAAACACTACAACAAAACATTCATATTTCTATGAAATTAGCTATAGAAATTTTCAAAAATATATGTAGCTAATGAATATGTTATAAAATTAGCATGAAAATGCATTTAGTGGCTATAATTTGCAATATAATTTGCCACAACTTATTTGACAACCTATTTGTCAAAACAATAAGTTTGATATATATTTTGCCACATCTAAATAATAATTATTTTACAAAAATTTTTCATATAAATTGCCACGATTTATTTGAAATTTTTTTGTCATAAATAATTAATATTTAAATAATTAAAATAAAATATTTAAATAATTAAAATAAAATATTTTAATTTTTCATGTGCATAGAAATACAAATTTGATGCAAAATTTAAATTTTAGAATTCAATATTATAAATATTAGCAATAAAAAAATATTAATACAACATTATATTTTCTAAACACTAACAAAATTAATATTTTAAAATACAATAGTAACATCAATACAATATTTAATTAGATATATTTACATAATTCTACTAAAAAATACACATGGAACTAAATTTTCTAAATTTTTTTATTTTTAAAGTTTTGAGATATATGCTGCTCTTGGCGTTGATATGTGCTTATGTCAACATTCTTTTTCTTTTTGGTGTCCAATAGCTTGTTTTTTTTCTTCTTGGCCTCCTGTAGCTTTTCCGTTTTCTAAATCCTAAAAAATAATAATGAAAAAAAATTAGAAAATAAATCATTTGTGACATACCATTTAATGACAAAAAGAACTAATAATATAAATAGAAAAAATATTAGTAATTTGAATGCAAAACAAAATAATGAAAGTAAATTAAACTTTTTTTTTCTTTTTGAAAAAACATATGAATTTTTATTCTTTTTAAACCGAAAAAAGGAAAAATTGGAAAAAAAAAACTTAATATGATTATTAAAAATAGAAAAAGAGCAAGAAAAATAATAAAAATTACAAAATATTAGTTAAAAAATTTTATAAAAAGGAACAAAAACCAACTATTCAATATATATGATGATTGGATAAAAACTCAAAAACATATAATACATAAAACTAAAATTGTTCAATGAATGAGTATTCCTTCAAATAAAATAAACTAAACATTATTATATCAACAAAATAAAAACTAATACATATTCAATTAATTTATAGCAACATCGAAATTATACCATAAAAAGAATATAAATGTTTAGATTTTACCTTTAAATTTATGAACAGCACGTATACTTCTTATTTATATATATCTGGGAACCTGCAACAATGAAATATGACTGAATAATGATTTATATTTTTTAAACTAAAGAAGAAGAGAAATAGACTTTTATGAAAAGAACAAAATAAAAGAGTGCAGTTTACAGAGAAGAAAATAATAAAAATTGATATAAAAGAAAAAGCGTAGAGGACAGAGGAAAAGATAATGAAAATTGATAAAGGAAATGAAAAGATGCCCAGAGAATAAAGAAGAAGATAAATGAAAAATAGATAAAAAGGAACAAGAGAGAAAAAAGAGAAAAAACTATATCCATCGTGGTAATTCACGTGGTGGAAGTTTTTATTATATATAATATTTATCTGTTTTTATTTTATTATATTAATTAGATAGATAAACTTTTGACAATTTAAAATTTATTCTTAATAATATAAGTATATTATATAAATGTTATAACTTAATATATTATACATTTTTAATTTATTATATATTAAGTATATTAATTATAATAATATAATAGATATAGATAGATATTTTACTATTTCAATCATATTAGTTTTAGATTTTTACAAATAATTTATTCATAAGTTATACTTTAATAAATTGTAAAAATATTAGTTTATTTTCAAATAAGTTATAATAAGAAATAAATAAATTTTACAAATAATTTATCCATAAGTATTATACTTGAATAAATGGTTGAAATATTAATTTATTTTAAAATAAAATTTAAGAAGTGTAGATAAATTCTATGTATATTTATAGTAAAAATT